GTACGTACGTACGTACGTACGACTACTACTCATCTTAAAGTGGCCAAGTTTGGACAACACTGCTATATAGGATGCCATTAGCTTTCTGATGATCCCCAGCTCTGCTCCTCCCTACCATCTAACTCCAAGAAAGCAACTGCAGTTGCTAATGTCCAGTATGGCATTATCAGTAACGGGCTGGACAATAAAGGAGAAAACTGGACTCACAAATTGAAGTGCACTGCAAATGGTGCAAAATGGTGCAAAAAGTGGTAGCCACCCTTCTGATGAGTGCAAAATGTGGGGATAATATGATATATCTACGGAAAGATCTGCACAGCTTGCCCATCATCCATCAAACACAATTTAAAGTGTTGGTGTTGACCCTAGAGCCATAAATGGCCGAGGGACTGAGTAACTGAAGGACCACATTGCTTGCTGTAATGTGGATGGTTACTCAGATCAGCAGTAGAAATCCTTTTTGAAGAAGCTCTGGTAACAGGTATCACTTACTGCATGAGGCTCCCAAGTTATTGAAAGCTTTCCCCAGGGAGGCGTGTTTCGTTCCCACTGTCTCAATATTTAGGAAAATGACCAAAAAAAACAACAACAACCCATCTCTATTTCCAAGCATCTGACTGTTGACTGATTTCAATGATACTGATTTAAATTTAGTTATGACTGTAATAATTTACTTATGTATTTTATATTTTATTCTTGTCAGTCAACAATTTTAAAAAATGCTTATATAAACAGAACAGCAGAGTACAGGTACAGATTTTATAAAATAAAGGTGAGCTCTGGATAATCCCTACCTGGCAAAGTCACTCTGAGCTTCCCTTCTGCATGAAGATTTGCAGTAGAGGGCTCACATTGGCTTTCACCTGAGCCAGAACCCTGTTAATATAAGATACTGGCTGGCATGGAAGTCAATGCATGCATGAATATATAGGTAGTCCTCACTTAATTACCACAATTGGGACTGGAATTTAGGTCGCTAATCTATGCGGTCGTTAAGCAAATCATCACGTGACCAGACTCAATTTTACAACTTTTTTTGCGGCGGTCATTAAGTGAATCACCATAGTCTTTAAGTGAAACATGCAATTGTTAAGTGAATCATGTGGTTTCCCCATTGATTTTGCTTGCCGGAAGCCAGCTGGGAAGGTTGCAAATGGCGATCACGTGGCCACAGGACTTTGCAACCGTCGTAAGTATGAACTGGTTGCCAAGCGCCCAGATGACAGTCGTAACTTTGGGCACCAGTCATAAGTCACTTTTTTTTTAGCACCGTTGTAACTTTGAATGGTTGCTAAATGAACGGTTGTTAAGTGAGGACTACCTGTATAACTGTGATCTTTGTTCCTATCACATTAACCACAGAAATATGAGCATGGCAGGGAAATTGTTATAATTTGAGTGAAGTAATTCCTTTGATGGAGGACAAACCTTAAATCTAGGTCCATCTGGTTTAGAAAATATCTAAGCAAACCTTAAGTAATTCCTGAATCACAGCATAAGATTTCCTATAGTATTTGATTCTAAAAAAAATACACACGCAACAGATAGAATAAATTAAAAACACATACAATCAAATAAGATATATGCCTAAGTACAAACAGCAAAATAGCATGGTGATAAGCAGTAAGGAAATAATTGACATTAAAAGACTACCATTTTAGTTCCCTAAATGACAGGCAACCAATCTAGGCTGGGGTGAGTTTAAGCCCATTGACCTCTGAATGCAATTGCAGCAGAGTAGAAGCCAGATTTTTTTTTCAGAAGTTTTTGCGGAAATATTCACCACAAGAATGGTATAATCTTGGACTCAGTCCAGACCCTGCACCTAGCAAGGAATAGCTACAGTAATGGAGATCACCAATCCTGATATAGCAGGCACTGCTATTTTGATGGCTGCATCTGAATGTATGCAGAGGTGATCTAGACCAGTGTTTCTCAACCTTGGGAACTTTAAGATGTGTGGACTTCAACTTCCAGAATTCCCCAGCCATTATTGTTCTTAAGTCCACACATCTTAAAGTTCCCAAGGTTGAGAAACACTGGTCTAGACAGAGAATATTGTTGAGCTACTCCTCTACTTTGCTGGAGGATGGAGCATTAAAACTAGCTAATGTAAATGCTTTTCTATCTGAGAGGGAAAATATCCATAAAAGATCATTTGGAATTATAATTTGAGATTTCAGATCTGCTAGCACCTGTTGAAGTCAAGGATATGTTGTATGGTCTCAGAGATAGCTTTCTCCAGACCCATAATTGTTAATGCTTGAATTGAGAGGTTGCAGGGGGGAAAATCATTGGCTATATATTTTTTCCTATAAACAATTATATTTATCTGTAAGAACAAGTTGGGTCAAGCTTCCATAATTTACTTTCAGCCAATATCTTAAGCAGTATAGGAGAGCCTAGTCCAGATCCAGTAAAACAGGGAATACATCAAGGGCCATGAAGAACGATTTGGGGGAGGGGGGCTTTATAAATCTAATCAGTAACATTTGGACTGCACCAATTCTAAAAGTTTTGTGTCTTTATAAGAGCAGAGTCATTGCCATAGAGCAGAAGTGGAATCATCTGGCTCTGAGTAGTTTAATTGCCACAGGAATAAAATAGTTAACTTATGACTTATAGATTTAATTATCTCATTTGCGGCCTTCTGTGCATTTAATTCTTTTTTCTTATAGTTTCAGAATGATTGCATCCAACTTTTATTTGTTCTTTTGTCTTGTAGATAATATTCTACTTTCAGAGAAGTTTATAAAGGATGGTCGTACTGCAGTCCTTAACTTTACAGGAACATCAGATGTTCTAGGTGTTAACTGCACTGATTGTGTTTGGGACAAAAACAGCAGGACCATATCTGGTCTGAAAGAATGTCAAACCTATGAAATAGAAGCAGAGTTTACACATTGCAAAAAAACTTTTCCCATTTATGTTCCCGTTGATGGTAATTATAATTCATTAAAACAAAATCTGCATTATTGTTCTTAAGTGCTTTTGTTCTCTGAACTCTTTTAAATCTTGCACTGAACTATTAGAAGAACATCATGTTGGGGCTGGGAGTGGGTTGAAGCCTTCAAATATGCTTCTTAGCAATACGTAGTACAAATTGGTCAGTCAAAATTAACTAAATGAGATGGACTGATGAATAGACATGCCTTAATGCTGTGGTACCCAACCTGGGTCTTGGGAATTTCCTTGGTGCCTCCCTGGTTGTAATTGTGAGAGATTGTGGGAACCAAGCAGAGGAGTGAGACTTCAGTGGGTGTGAAAAGAAGCAGCACAGGCCAATGGTTGGAGGCTGTGGGAAGGAAACCTTAACCGGCTTTTATCTTCCTTGAAAGATACAATGCTGCTCATTGTAAGAGTTTCACTTCTAGCTTTCTTTTTCCTCTCTTGCCTATTGAAAACTTGGTTAATTATTCATCCAGTGTACAATTTTGTAACCCATGCATGATATGTAAATAAGGAAATAATTTTCCAGCGTTCTTTAAAATATGAAAATACTGAAATGGATTCATTTTTTTTCTCTCTCTCCCTCTCTTTTAGCTAATAAAAAACTGAATGAAACACACAATGATACCAGCGTGACTTTATTCTGGAAGACTGATGCTCAGTGTAATCTGAATTATTCATATTGCTGTTACTTGAATGGTAGGAATTTTTTTTTAAAGAATCGGTTGGCATTTGATCTAAAATTGAGAGAGAATTAAAAAAACACTTTATATATGACAGTGATGAAAAAGGAACTTTGTGACCAATCATTGCATTATGACCTTTGCAGGTCTGTAAAACAAAGGAAAGCTGAAGTAAGGTCATGAGCACAGTTGTGGTTTCACTTAGTGACTGCTTCACCTAACAACTGAGTTGCTGGTCCCAATTGTGCTTGCTAAACGAGGACTACCTTTAGTGGTATTATTTATTAAGAGAAATACAGCCTTTTGGTGGGTTGTTGTGCTTAGAAATATATCTGTGCCATAATTTTCTTTTCTTTTTTTTTTCTCCCTTTTTTTTTTTTAAATCTCAGCATGCAAATTAAAATTTCCAACCCTGGATGTTCTTGAGATGCATGCACTTGAATTTGCAGAATTCTCAGTAATACTTATACTGGCTTGGGAATTCTAGGATTTAAAGTTCACATATCGGGAGGACAATTATATCCAGACTTGACAAGGCTGTTAAGATGTAGAATCTCCCGGATGCCTAGATTTCAGGATAATAAATTCTTTTAATTCCTTACAGGTATTAAACCTATTTCTGGCTGTACAAAATTTACGAATGAGGCACGCAGGGAATTTACAGTGTTACCCAATACAAAGTACAGTTGCAATTCAAGTATTCTTAATGAAAAACCAGTTGATACAGTTAAGATAACAACAGACTATGGAAGTGAGTATCACACCATGATTTTCTTATGCTTTGTTAGTTACTGAATTTGCTCCGAAACCAAACATTTCTACAGAGAAAGTGTATGTGTCCAAGCAGGAAGAAAGATGTATTGAGATCTTAATAACTGATAAGGTCTACCAGTTATTATAATGGTAGACAGGCAAATTTCACTATAAGCAGCCAGATCCATGGGAACACTGGAGGCAGAGTTCTCATGTGCAGCCTTTCTCCCCAGCCTGCATTTTAGCCTTACTAGCCAACATCTGAATAATTTTAAGGGAGAATAAGTGAACAGATTCAGGCCCTGAAAAGATGTGATTTTCAGAACTGTTGGATCAGGCTCAAGGATTACATTTTGAGGACATGAAATCTTGAGTTCAGAAAACTGCAAAACAATTCTCAGGTGGGATGTGCTTAGAATCCTTGTTTCCATACAAGGAATGCTGGGCAGATGTTGTAGACTGGTTTAAGAATGAGACACAACCACACACTCACAGATATCTGGGAAAGCAATGCTTTACTTTTGCCCAGCTGATTGCAGACCAACGAAGCTTTATAAATAGGTTGGAAGACTCCATAATTAAAATCCTCTGACTAAAGCGTAGGATGGCTCGATTGAAGGTAAATTGTTTGAGAGAGGTCCTCACAGGATAATGGGTTAAAGGGGATTAACAGAAGACGAGGTTGCATGTAAGGATAGGAATGGCACCAGTGTGTGATTTCCTCCCAGTCTAAATAACCGCTTCAGAGAAGTTACTTTTTTTCAGGACCAAAGAAAGCATGCATATGAAGTGCAAAGATACGTTTAATGTTACCTCTAGTTTGGCCCAAAGCTTTTGAAGCATTTCTGTCCGTGGTCATCTAAAAAATGATTTATAATACTTAGGACCTCACTAGGTTTTTATTCCTTTTGGAATAACATTATAATAAATAAATACATTCTTTTGGTCTGGGAGCAACAGTATAAATATGATTGGCTGATCTTGAAAGCACCAAGAATCTCAGGGCTCTAGACTAGACTGGGAAAATCCTGGAAAAAGGCAATGGGAAATCACTGCCATTAACTGCTGCCAAGACAGTTACATGATTATGTCCATAGCATCATAAAGAGTCAAGCTGAATTTGATGGAGTTGTTACCCTGATTAACAAGAAGATTAGATGTTACTTAGAGAATGTAGGTCCTCTGTATTTTGATTTTCCAAATTCTTCAGTAACATGGAGATTCTGTTGTTGTTGTTGTTGCTATAAATACTCTCCCTCTGCACACAGACCACAGTGCAAGGTGGCAGGGCTAGTTGCTCATATTTATTTCCCTGTGCCAGATTTAGCCCATGATATGTTGACCTTTTATCTCATTCCATCAGAAGTCATTTGGAATGTTATACAGCTCCTATGATCACCAACAGAAAATGTAACTGACTAGAAATAATGAAAGTTTGTGATTCATTGCTCATGGGCCCAACTGGCAGGAGACTCTGAAGACCAATATGTGATTTCTAAAGAGATACAGTATCTTGGGGGGAAAAGAAAAAGCCCCATATGCTTTCCAAGAAATAATAATAATAATAATAATAATAATAATAATAATAATTTATTATATTTTTATGCTGCCCAACTCTCAATGACAGCTATTATCACCCCCCATCTTATCCTGAACCTAAGGAATAAATATCACCTCTGGAGACTAGGGCAAGTGGAAGTACAAGCAAACTGGCGTTGAAATGGATGGTCTAGGTCAGTGTTGTCCAAACTT